TAAAAATAATACTACATACATTTTGTATATCACTTAAAAAAACAGCATAAAAATAAACTAAAAAGCAAGCAAAAATGTCAAAGGTAGTAGTGAAGAGGAGATTTCAACTGTCAATGCATACAAGTTTAATGCTTATAAAGTGGCTTATACCCTTTTTACATCAGTGGTCATACTGTCATTCCTGATCACGCTGGTACATTTCTCTTTACCCGCTCTATGATATCCAACAGACTGGTGAAATGGTGAGTGTTGCAGCCCTCAGCCAGATCCACCAAGAGCTGAGTGGCCTGTTTCCTCACAGCCAGGTCCCGGTCCTCCGCTATCCCACTAAGCTGAGGAATCACTACCATTTCAATCAACTCATCCTGTATGAGACAAGGAAACGGAAAATATTACAAACTGAATATTATGATTTGTACCCTAATTGGACTATGAAAATGCGCAGACCTCATACAGCTGCCGGTTGGTACTCAAAACAAAGGAGAGGATGTGGAGAACTTTAATCCTTATTACACTGCGTGTCTCATTCCTGTGAGTGACATCAAAGTGCACAGCAGACAAAGCAAAAAAGAAATATCTTAAAAATAGGCAATACAAAAGAAGGAAAGTGAAAAGTTTATATACAACAGTTGTCAAGGAGGAGAATGTTTACTGCTACTACTAATAATAATAGATGAATGCATGTTTTCAATTATAAAAGAGAATCCTAATGACTTCTACCTAAAAAACTTTTCCATGAGGTGGTGCAGGCTTTGAATCCACCCATCTTTGGCTGGTTGGATGGACTGAGCTCTGTATGATATGAGCGTCAGCACTGATGCATCCTATCAATATGAAAGGCAATTAACAAATCTGCTCAAAGTGTAAAGAATAATTAAAGTTTAGTGAGAGAAAACCAACAGATCTCTTGTCGGCGCATTTCTCCACCAGACTGAAAAACTTCTCTGTGGAGCCATGGTAACCATTCTGCTCATACAGCTCCTCCACAGTGGTCAGCAACTCATAGACAATGGCCTTTAACTCCACACTTCCAATTGTCTAAAAAAAGGAAAAAAAGAGAAATGAGACACATTTTAATACTTTTATTTACAGGCAGTTACAGAGTGAACTGCAATTGTGCAAATACCTGGATCTGCTGCAGTAGTCTCTCAATGATACTGAGTAAAATGTCCCATGTGACAACCTGCAGCTCCTTCCCATACTTTTTTATGAGTCTAGTTATGGACAGGACGATTTCATATGAAACCACTTCATTGGCACATGACATTGCCTGACGAGGTATCAAATAGCAACGATTAAAATTATGAATTCAATATCCATATCTGTTTGGTTTATATTGATATAATAGCAATCAAAAAAATACAAAACGATACAGTCAAACAAAAGAGATATTTCATGTCACATCTTGATGTGTACCTTATAGAAAGATGGCAGGACAAGGGTAGGTGTGTTTTTGAGAGCAGGGAGTCTATGTGCACCCCACAGGGCCATCCCAACAAAAAATACAGCTCCTCTCAACAACGGAGCATCTTCCTGGTATGCCCTGGAGATATTTGCAATAATAACTTAATACCAGAAAAAAAAATGTACCATTTTAATACCGATACTGTAAAACTCACCTCTCTTCCATTATTCTACACATAGTGTAAATAGCACTGTGGCCGAGATGAGTACCTAAGACCTTCCTCATTAACTGGAGAGACAATTATAAAGAGTGTGAGATTGTGTTTTGATCTGTGCCATAGAGACAGGGATAAAAATATGTTATTTACCTTCCAGCAGGATTCACAAAACTCTTTGACATTAACAGTGCGACAAAGTGTAATAATGAAAATGGTGAGTGAGTCCGAAGGGAGACAGTTGTAGCATACGACTGCATCTAAAACTTGCAACGCCACCTTTAAACAAGAGTAACAAAACAAGCATTAAAAAACAGCATTGCCTTGCATAATGACCATAATAGGAGGAAGAAAACACTGACTTCAATGTCGGTAGAGGAGGTTGTTCGATTGCACAAAAGACATATTTTCCTAAATGAAATGATTAATTAGAATGAATGATTTTGTTCACTACATTTGCAATTGTAATAATTCTGTGTAGAAACTTACTGGACCATGACTGAAACATTCTGATCCAGATAGCAGCTGTTGAACTTCACAATATTGACAAGTACATGGAGAAAGTCAGAGGTAAGGCCAATGTCCATCCACAGGAGGACAAACCGTGCTGAAAACATCATCATATAAGTTAATAACCTTTCTATATTTTTTCAAACATTCACTGTCCATCTTTACCAATGTCCTCCTCCAGGTATGTAATGTCTTTCCCATTTTCTGTCAAAGCTTTAAAAACCTCCAGTCGCTCTGATAGGTCCTCGTTGCATGGCTGATAGTCTCTAATTACTTTGAAGAAGAAGGCTCTGAGAGGTCCAAGTCGCTCCCCCTGCAAAAAGCCAAGGATTATAAGTAATACATTACATCTTCATGCTACCCAGTACTACCATCATGTTTCAGTTTGAAAGCTGTTCAGATTGTCATTAATTTATTTTCTTTTTCTATAAAGCTGTCACAGAATAACAGCTTATTCCATTTAATGAACCTTGAACACAATATAATTACTCACACATGCATTTATCAAACAAAATACAACTGAGTATGCAAATGATAAAGAAACACAGTTATGGTTAAAAGAAGAATATAGATTTTGCATAATATGTCCATTTTAAAATAGTGGTAAGTTAATGTAGCGTAGTGCAAAAAGAAAAAAGTATGATGCAATATATTCATTTAAATTAAAGTCTAGCTTGTTTTTAGACTATGGGGAGAAGATATGAAAGCACTGGTCACTGTTTCTAAGAGTCTCTTTGACCCTTACCTGTCCCTGAATGATGGCCCTAAGCAGCTGCAGGACAGCGTGTCTGGCCTCAGGTGGCTGCTCTGGAGTCAACATATCCTCCACTGCTTTCCAAACAGCCTCCACAGCATGCTATAACACATATATTAAATGCTAATTTAACAATTATTTAACAGTTCCACACTAATTAAATTAAAAACGCAATTTATCACAACAGTTCAGGTCAGCTAGTATGACTATAGTACAGACTGTAGACTACTATATCAGCAATAGTCACATAGTATCATTAGTATGTAGTCATTGATATTGTTTATATCGTTATTACCTAATGCAATCAAATATTTGTTTCCATTAAATAAATGTTTGAGTTAATTCATTCAAATACTATGCTATAATGTAATCTAATCATCATCACAATATAAAAAGTCATAGCTAAACAAAAAAACAACAATATTATAGCTGAATGGAAGCCAAATTTGACTAAATGGGTCAAACAATTACCTCTTCAAACTTTTTTGTTTTGGCCAGATCACACACTTGATTCATTATTCTGACCCGATTGTTGAGGCCACAATCAGGCTGTAGCTCCTACAAACCAAAAACATGTTAATTTGATTTCACTTTGAAGCTAAGTGTAAAATGCATCATTTCTGACCTTTATAATTTCCGATGTAATTATAAACTCAGAAGGCTTTGATTCACTCTGTTTGGTTGGTTGTCGCGTTTGTCCAAGACCCAGAATCCCCTTCACCTTTTCCTTTAGGCTCTCCTTGCTTGGCTGTTTGTTCATTGTGTGACTGCACAGGCAAGGGCAGGTGGCTGCTTTAAAAAGGTGACAAGACTATAGGATTTATAACAAATATTAGAATGCAACAAAAGAGTATTTATAATGGATGCTGTAGTCCCTTAGACCTTTAGTCTATTAAATCGGTCAATAATATTTTAGTCAATTGAAAATTGTATTAATCAACAATTAAGTTATTTATTTTAAAAGGATTTATACTAAACAATATTAGAAGGGGGAAGGTATGGATTGGATTTTTTTATTACATATAATACACAGTATCGTACACCTGTTCTGAATAAGAAAACATTTTAGCAAAATCTCCAGTGTAGTTGACGTTTTGTGAGTTTTGTGAGAATCTGACTGAGATACAAGTTTAGATCATAAAAATACTTGTTGCCACAGTCCCCAATTTAGTCAATACAGTGATCAGCAAGACATTTCTTTAGTTGACCAAAGTCTACTATGGCTCAATTAATAACACACATAAAATTAGCACATCTGTTTGAATATTTTAAGTGCATTTTTAAAATAGCCAGGTTGAAAGTTATTTGACCATCACATGCATGTTAATGTGACTAAATGCATTTTAAAATTAGATAACATTCACATATTTCCATTATTGTGAACCTCTTGTTACTTCTAAAAAAAAAATGAAAGATAGGTTTAAATATAATTTAAATAGTTTGTTTCTCAGTATCAGAAAAGATAAACAGTTTTTTTAATTTAAAATGTTGCTACATCATCTCCAACTCCAACTAATGGTTTATTAACATTAGGCTTAACACGTTAACAAGACTGGTGTAAATGCCAGCCTGTAAATGTGTAAACCTGGGGGGCATGATAGAAAAATGTGCTGTCATGTGGACTTGACAAAGACAGAGGGAGGGAGGTGAGCAGACAGACAACGGCTGCTCTGTTGGTTCAGTAAATCAACAACAACACAGCGCTGCATCATTTAGACTGCCATACGAGGGCATTTACCACCAAAAACACCACTAGATCATCAAGATCGTAAAGAGAATATCATGCATGACACTACTGTACGTTAGCTACGTATTTCAAGGGCTAGCATTTGGCATTCAAGGTCTGGTAGCTTTAAAACAACGCCTTCATCGCCCCCCTTTTTCTCAAAGATCTTACCTTTGTCAGGATGTGTCGGCCTTGGCTACTTTGATATCTATCTACAACTGGATGCAACCATCACACCGTGTGAATACGAACATGCATTTGCAGCTGGGAGGCTTTTCTAGTCCAAGATCAGACCTCCACTTCTCAACCGGATGGCACTAATGCACTGACAGGGGCACTTCCTACAAAAACACGTTTGTCGCTAGGAATGATGGGAATTGTAGTTGTCATGATACGTAAAATACTAGCAGCAAGTTAACTGGATTTGACGAGGTTAAACGTGTTGTTACATCTCTTTGGCGTTGCTTCTTCTAATGCAACCTTTCAAGCAAGTATCGTACTGATGTTACGATAGGAGAATTATAACAACTAACTAACTTTAGCTAACAATAGCCACATGCTAAAATGATGCCACATTGCATGAGAGTGTGGCTATGTGCGCGTCTCTCTGTCGTTATTGTTATAATGAGTGAACTGTAATAATGAGAACTTAGCTGTAAAAGTTTTCTTATTGTATATGTATATGTCGGGAAATCTATAGGGTATTGATTGGCTAAGAGAAACGTTGTGAAAGAGCTGTCCCTCGTGACCATATTCTCCAATGAGAGGCCATGTTTATCTGCCTTCGGTCTGCAGCTGGATCCATGCGTGTTCATGAGACATTTATCCTACACGGTAGTACGAAATTTTACAATGACATCTCAGTATTTCAAGAAGAAGTCTGATGTTACTCAAAATAGCGCACAAGATCCTGGCTCCGGTTTGTCCTGCCTTTGCTCCAAACTCAATACAGCGATCAAAAGTGTGGGGGCTGCGATCAAGCTAGAGGAGCAAGAACCCCAAATATCAGAGAAAACACCCTTTTCCATAAATTCAGGTAATGTCTGTATTAGCGCTAAGCCATACAGTCAACAAATGTGTTGTTACTTTTTCACTATACCAATCCAGCACAACTGTATTTGTATCACTTTGCTATTTACTCCACCTTTCATATCCGGAATATATAACTTTTATATTATTGTAGAGTGCTGCCCTGAACATCCACCTCAGGATGCTGTTCGGCCAAAAACAGACTCTGAGCCTTTGTCTTCAAACTATCGCAGAAGAAGACAGCTGAAGGTGGAATATGTTAAGGCTGAAGATACTGCACAGATGAAAACAGAGCACTGGGAGCCTGCAGATTGGAAGAAACAACTTGACCACATAAGAGAGATGAGGAGTGGCCTAGATGCGCCTGTCGATAACATGGGAGCAGAGAAATGCTATGACCATGATGCCCCAGCACAGGTATCAGGAGTTTAATAATTTACACAAAATTTTCTGGTAGAAAGTTCGTCAAATGCTTTTCTCCACATAGATGTTATTGCTTTGTCTGAAATGTTTCACAGTATTGTATTAAACCTTTCTATCTTCATGTAGACCAAATCAGGCCAAGTTACAGGTCAGACCTGTGAAGAGGCAACCCCGCTCACAGTCAGAATGCCTGTTTTTCTAAGCATTTTTGAGCAATAAAATCACCTGTAATTGAAAACATATATGGTAGTGCTGTTTATTGTCATACTGTGGAACATTCCAGCCAGAACAATGACATATTTAAAGAAAAAAAAAGTTACACACCTTTTAAAGTTACAATGCACCTTTAAGTGTTGTTTAAATTCTGTTTATTCACAGGTAAAACGCTTTCAGGTTTTGGTGTCTCTAATGCTGTCCAGTCAAACCAAAGACCAAGTCACAGCAGGTGCAATGGAGCGGCTACGAGCACACGGATGCACTGTGGAAAATATACTAAGCACTGAAGATGAAACACTTGGAAAACTGATTTATCCTGTTGGTTTTTGGAAGGTAATAATCTACTGAATTGTATTTGTACTTTTATGTTTATCAAAAAGAATAAATTGTGTTTTACATCATGCATTATAGTATTGCCTATTTCCTGTGCTGCAGACAAAAGTGAAATATCTAAAGTTGACATGTGCCATGCTCCAAAAGGAGTTTGGGGGGGACATTCCAAACAGCACTGAAGGTTTGGTCCGTTTGCCTGGAGTTGGACCAAAGATGGCCCACCTTGCGATGGACATCGCATGGGATCAGGTGTCAGGCATTGGTAGGAACACTCTACATTAAAAAAATTATTAATTATGTAGTGCAGAGTAATAGCTGTTGTTTGTCTAGGCAGGTACCAATCCAATACAAGAATATTTATAGAAATATATGACATTATTTGGCCCTTCTTTATTGCCTCACTGGCTGAGGATTTTTAACCTTACATGTTTATATATGTTCATACAATAGATCTACAGCGAAATATCTTGCTCAAGGACACAACAGTATTAAATCCGTGTTTTTTGTGATTTATATTGTTTTAGGAGTGGATACACATGTACATCGTATCTCAAATAGACTGGGTTGGCTCAAAAAAATGACCAAGAACCCAGAGGAGACGCGCAAAGCCCTGGAAGAGTGGTTGCCAAGGTAACAGTATGACCAATGACAAACACTTAAAACTGAGGTCATAGTTGTCAAGATTAATCCAAATAAACGTGCAACTGTAAATAACAGCTTTATTTGAGCAATAATAAATATCACATCGAAGTGGGAGGCGAATCTCTGTGGAATTGGAACTGTAAAAATGTAATTCATTACAATATTCATAAGCACATTTGACATTAAGTGTGATTTATTCATATTGAGATACTATAATTATGCTCAGAATAGAAAATTGAATGAAAATGTCTGCTTTAGCTTCTTTTTCTTAAAACACATAGCATAAGTGCTATAACCAGTATGCTACAATTGTTTTTACTGTTAATAATACAGTTTATTAAAGAATGCAACTCATCACTTCCCAATATGAAGCTTCATGTTAAGTGTGCTGTGTTGTTCTAGGGAGCTGTGGAGTGAGATCAACTGGCTGCTGGTTGGTTTTGGGCAGCAGGTTTGTTTACCAGTAAACCCGCTGTGCTCTGTGTGTCTCAACCAGCACAACTGCCCCTCTGCGCACAAAGCATCCCCGGTGAAGAGACCCAAGTCCAGATCCCCACACACGTCTAGTAAAACCACACACAAAACAAAAACTGAACTTGGTAAAGTTGAACCTTCATCCCCTGCTGCCCCTTCTTTACCAAAGAAGAACAAAAATAAGAAAAAGAAATCTAAATGAATATTATGACACATACAGGGACATTTCTGTAGTTGATTTATCCATTTTAAAAGAAGTAAATATTTTTGTATTGTGAGTGTTTGTGTGTGTGTGTGTGTGTGTGTGTGTGTGTGTGTGTGTATATATATATATATATATATGTATATTTGTTTTTTTACTAAATAAAGACAAAAACGTAGGCATTGTTTTACTTTATTTCCTTCCTATTTCCTGTTCAGTCATAAAGCAGTAGATGCGTTGTAATTAATTACATATAAGAATTGTTGTAGGTGTGCCAGGTAGTTCCTGTACAATTCCTGTTTATTGGCTTAGTGCCACAAGTCACACCAGGATACACGGAGACGGCATGATAAACTATCCTATCACAAATATATAGTAAAACCTTTTTTTTTTTTTTTTTTTTTTTTTTTTTTTTACAAAAGTCTCGACAAATTTGATTTATTTATACAGCATAAATGTATTCCTACATCTGTCAATGGTCATCATCATAAACTTGAAAAAGTACATAAATTGTCAAAGGTGGCTCATATTTAGTTGCAGTTCTGTTCCCACCGAATGTTTTGTCCTCTCCGCCTGGTTTAAATATCAAAAGCACACACCCAGAGTTGCTTGTCCTAAATTCCCCGAGCGGCTCCCATGGGCTATAGCCTATGTCACCACACTTAAGGCACAGGGCAATAGAGCCTACGATGATTCTTTGACGCAACTGTCCACGTATTGGTCGGCTGTGAGGAGAGAGTTAATAGAGAGGATAAGGAGGACTTCGCGCAGGTCACAATCACCTTTACCTCATGAGATTCAACCTTCCTTTATTTTCAGACTAGTGATAAAGGGCAGAACATTTTGCTACTCTCTGAATACATTAAAAAGCTGTTGTCTGGTTCACTTTGTTTACTCCACCTTCCACGGTCAAGTCTGCGAAAAGTAGAAGCGCATCTGTTTTTGTTCACTTGTTGCGCTGTCTTGGACTGGAGGACTCAGCCACGCACCTGACATTGAGAATTAAGTGTTACGCGCCAGGAACGGCTCCCTAATCTCTGATCTCTTGGATTACCCCTCCAATGGACGCGATTTGGCCTCGGTCTGATTTTTGGCCACACTTTTACGCACAGTGGGGACTACTTTGGTGTGCATTATAGCCTGCACTTCTAGATTTTACGATGGATTAAACATTAATTTCTGTTACACGATGGTTTGATCATTGTGTTCCGAACAAATTTTGGATTAATTAATTGTTGCCATGCACTCACATCACGCTAAATAATGATGATTGGTTTCCAGCAGCGCGCAGCCGTATGTTGGATTAACCGACTTTCTACCCCTCTGCGATCAAGCACCTGTTTATTCCTTTGAGACTCTTTTGACCTGTTTCTATCTATTCACGGGCGATGGAAGGTGAGTTGAGACCGAGGCTCTGTTTCCTCACTAAAGGAGAGCGCGGATATGGCTTTCACTTGCACGGGGAGAGGAATAAAGGCGGACAGTTCATCCGGAAAGTGGAACCGGGCTCCTGCGCTGACTTGGCGGGACTAAGAGCAGGAGACCGACTGGTGGAGGTCAATGGGGAAAACGTGGAAAACGCAACGCACCATGAAGTGAGTGAAAATAAAAAGGAAAAGTATTTGGTTGTAGGCAGGAAGCCGCTAAGACGCAATACATAAGACACAAACAATAAGTCCATACCTGTCCAACCACTTTTCCTTAGCCTGAGGAGAAGGAGGGGGACACCAAAATGGGTCAATGTTAGTCTTGTGTAATGGGAATCACTGTAAGTCTTTGTCATGGTTAAACTATGTTATGTGCAGGCCATAAGAGGGATCGTAATGACTGTGATGCATTTAAAACTAGTCCATGTGATTTAGAAATCAACCATTATGGTCAACAGATGAAAAAGTTTGCTCAGAGAGAGTATATAAACCATCACATTAGCCTTTGCAGTAATCAACATGCAGTTAATCACTTCCTAGATCCCTGGTAAACTGTTAAAAAGGTCTAACAACAAGTAAAACAAATGGCATAAAGCAGTATTGCTACAACCACAGCAGTTTTTCTGTTTGATTTGATTACATCTCTGAAAATATCTAGTCCTCATAAGTTCTGTTTTCAAAGGTGGTTAACCGAATCAGAGAGGTGGACTTCCGCACTCGTCTGCTGGTGGTGGACAGGGAGACCGATGAGTACCTCCACAGTCGTGGCTTGGCTTGCACAGAGGCTCTGGCCATTGAAATGGGCACCCTGTCCCCACGTCCATCTCCAGCCCCCACCCCCAGCTCCTCACCCATCCCACCATTCTTGCGGAGGGAGCTCGGAGCACTGTCCCCCAAAACGAACCGATCATATGCCGTGTCCACAGTGCGCCCCCTCACCATCTCCCACTCTCCCACACCAACAGTCACTGATGGGAAGTCTTCAAGAAACTCTGTTGCTTCAAGAAACTCTATGGCTTCAAGCATCACAGACACAGAGGTGAGCTGCAGTCTGTGGTTTATAAGATGAAGGGGGCATTTTCCAGTCACTGAGAGGTCATGGCTAATCTGGTCTTGGCTAAGGATACAGTTTACCACCTATTACCACTGTTAAGGTTGTAAAAACTAAACCACCATTCCATGTCTGAGGCTATGAAGTAAGTAGGTACATATTCAGCTCATACTCATATTTCATCTGTCAATTGAAAAGCACTC